CAAATTGCAAACACCAGTTACGATTATACACTCAAAAAATTAAGGTTTTTCTGCTGGTGCCATGCTCTGTAATCACTGTATGACAAGTTTCACCACCATACACATTCAAAATGTTACTGCGATTTAGAGGGATAACTTCATTCACTGGGCTGACTGCCGGCAACTTTTAAGGTGGAATGTTTACTTGTAATGTTACTCAATGCATGAGTTGTTAATGTGAATCAATCAGCACACCTTAAATTTCACTGTGACAACTTTGACCATTCTATTAGTTTTCTCTTGGATATATATATTCATTTCGACTGGATTTTGTGAACTGCATATATTCTAATTGTCACTTGGAGAAAAAAAAATGTGGCGGAGCATCGTTCCTGTGGACTCCAACAACACTAAACCCCTGAGCTTGCCTGAGAAGGACTAAATGCACAAACCCACTGTTTTTAAGTATCCCATGGAGAGAGACTCACTGCAGCTTGTTTTATTGTGTTCTGAAAATGTTGGCGTGCAGCCTCGTTCTGTGGACGATAAACTAGGTGCAGACTTCCATCTGTGTCACTGCTGATGAGGAAATACAGTGAGTGCTGGACGGCACAGTGAGTGACAACAACCCCGCCCACATTTAAGAGTACTGTTTGCAGTGGAAACGCCAGGGTCTAGGTACCATGTCTGAAGGGTTACTTTTGATTCTAAAGGTACCATACTGAAAGTGTTTGTAGGAAACAGGGCTATACAGTAAGCAGAGAAAATAGGTGAGCACACATTAGCAGGTTGTAGGCTAGTGGCCGATCTGTGATGTGCCAAACAGCGTCTGAGAAACACTGGTTTATAACATGAAACTGCTTTAGTCAGCATTTATACCGGTTTAATTCATGTGGTCTGTCTGTTTTGGAGAAGACAAGACCTCTGTGGATAAACCTCCTGAACAATGAACATTGACGGAATTCTAACCCAGAGGAATTTCAGCTGGTCACAATGTGCAGTCCTCACTGCTAGAAATCTGCCTAAATCTCACACACTGCCTCTTTAAAATGGGGTCATGTTGGAAGTGTAGCGTGTACTTAAATCAAATAAACCTTGACAAGACCAAGGCACAGAACAGTAAATGCACCGTGGCTGTTTGATACCAGTAAAACATGAGCATATTTTGTATTTCTGGATGCTATTTCACACTCCCACATAGACAACAAAGCATATGAGAGAAGCAACAGGAATTTGTCTTTCCAAACACAAGGCTCACTCCAAACATGGATCCAGATTTTTTTTTTTTTTTTAACTATAAACTGTGTAGGCAATTTTGAAAAGGATATTCAATCACAGTTCGATGATGCTCCACCTCACTCCCATGCTCTCATAACACATAATCCACTCCCGCACCCCACTCGTGGGCTCCGAACTCTGTGCTCCAATCTATCATGTGGTTAAATCTGAACTCTTATGTATACTTTTGTTTGTGTAGATGTTCTTGGTGCAATTACCAGCATGTACTACACGTACCAGCAGCATTGTAGGCTAGACGCAAGCTTTATCTGTTCCTGCAGAACTGCACATACAGTATTATTGTCTCAATTTAGTGTGACTGGGTATTTCAATTAGTTTCCAATTACATGCTGTTTCTGTGAAAATGATTTCATAAAAAATGCATGAAGGATGCCAACAATCCAGTGTATTTTCTGTATTTACTCTCTATACAACACTGAAATAAGGGATTTGATATACAGCTCTGCAATGTATCCCACTGAAGGATTATTGGAGTGTTGCTCAAGATCACTGAGGAATGAAGCCATATAGTGACATACAGTATGTGCATGATCTGAGAGACTGAGCTGAAATAGACAAGGTGAAAACAGATAAGTGAAACAGGCAGTGGGTATTTGAGGGTAAAAGGCAAAATATCTGCAGCTTTGTTAAAAATGTCAGTTTTCTAATTGGCATCATTTTAACAATTGATGATAAAAAACATTTTAGGTATTGCCGTTTTCCTGCACCGACCACATTACTGGATTATTTCATTAACAGGAAGATGGAGATGTTATGATGCGATTTGCTAATCTATTCAAAGTCACCATAGCTAATAGAGAGGACAACACATTAAGGTCAGAGGCATGCTGCACACCAGTTGCTGCCATGTCGTGTCCCTCAGTGAAGAAAAACACAATGGGCCCCATAGGTGATATAAACCACCCTGCAGCCATGGCATTTTCATTCCAAGTTTTGACATATTATTCAGTAATGGAACCTAGTTTGTATGAAATATATATAAACAAAAAACAGTAAATTGCATTCTTACTTGGTAAACACACCGAGCTATTCATCATGGCCACCCACATGCTCAAGTGCCTCTGTTGTTTCCTTGTGTTCCTTCCAGTGATTTCTTGATTGGTTTCTTGTTTAACATTTAGTGTAAATCTTGACACACAGAACACACCTATATTGATTTAACCCCTCATCTGCTGTGTAATATGATACTGTTTATGATGCAACTGCACAACAAGCAAACGCAGCCAGCACACAATGGAGATATTCTTGGAACATACAGTACAGAATATTTTATTAGACATGAAAAATGAATATGTGTACTTAACCTGGTAGTATAGTATATTGTTGTATATGCTGGAGTATAGTATGATGTAGTACAATATGGTAAAGCAAAGTGTGGTGTAAACTGGATTATTGTCTAGTATGGTTCTATAGTACTATAGTGCTTGAGTATAGTGTCGTATACTCTGGTGCATTAACAGTATATTACAGTATAGAATTATACAGTATAGTATAGTATGTATTCATATATAAATAAAATTAAGATTATTATTGTATGGAATACAGTAAAGTATAAACTAGCGTATAGTACAATATCATATATGTACTGTATACCAGAGTAAATTATAGCAAAGTAGTGTGATATAGTTTCATATACACTGAAGTATAGCATAGCATAGCACAGCATAGCATAGCATAGTATAATATACATGGGGGTATAATATGGTATACAAAGGACTAAAGTATAGTATATTATAGTATACACTGGGTTATAGTATAGTGTACACTGAAGGCAAATATTTACTGGGGTAGAGTGTAGTATGGTGGAGTAGCATAGAGCAGCGTATACACTGGGGTATAATATGGTATACACAGGACTATAGTATAGTATACTAAGGTCACTGGTGTATAGTATAGTTTACACTGGTGTATAGTACAGTGTACACTGGAGGAAAATATTTACTGGGTTATAGCATAGCATAACATAGCATAGTAGTATATTATAGTACACACTACAGTATACACTGGAGTTAAGTATAGTTTACACTGGGGTATAGTTTAGTATAGCATAGCATAGCACAACATTGTATAGTATACACTGGGGTATAATATGGTATACACAGGACTATAGTATAGTATAGTATAGTATAGTATACACTGGAGGATAGTATTGACTGGGGTATAGAATAGTATAGTACAGTATACACTTGAGTTAAGTATAGTTTACACAGGACTATAGTATAATACAGTTTACTCTAGGGTCAAGGTCAAGATGCAGTTTACTGTCATTCAAACATGTTAAAAACACGAGGGAATGAAATTAGATACCCAGGTCCAGCAGCGTACAGAATAAAAAACATTTATAGTATAGTATATGGCATAGTACACACTGGGGTGTAGTGTAGCGTAGTACAGTTTACACGGGGAAATTATAGCCTATAGTAAAGTATACACAGGACCACAGTGTAATATACTGTAGTGTAGTGTAGTGTAATGTAATGTAGTGTAGTATGGTTTACACCGGGGTAAAGTATATTATATAGTACAGTATACACAGGACTATAGTATAGTGTAGTACAGTTTACACTAGGGGACAGTATAGTAAATGGTATATAGTATAGTATACACAGGACTGTATAGTGGTGTAGTGAAGTACAGTTTATAGTATAGTATAGTATAGTGTAGTATGCAGTAGATAGTATAGTATAGTATAGTATAGTATAGTATAGTATAGTATACACTAGGTAGTATAGTATAATATAGTGTAGTATACACTAGGTAGTATAGTATAGTATAGTATAGTGTAGTGTAGTATACACTAGGTAGTATAGTATAGTGTAGTATAGTATAGTATAGTATACAGTAGGTAGTATAGTATAGTATAGTGTAGTCGTATACACTAGATAGTATAGTATGCAGTAGATAGTATAGTATAGTATAGTATACAGTAGGTAGTGTAGTATAGTATAGTATACAGTAGGTAGTATAGCATAGTATAGTGTAGTATACAGTAGGTAGTATAGTATAGTATAGTAGAGTAGTATACAGTAGGTAGTATAGTATAGTATAGTATAGTATAGTATACAGTAGGTAGTACAGTATAGTATAGCATAGCATACACAAGATCGTATAGTATAGTATAGTATAGTATAGTATACACTAGGTAGTATAGTATAGTATAGTATAGTATAGTATAGTGTAGTATACACTAGGTAGTATAGTATAGTATAGTGTAGTATAGTATAGTATAGTATACACGAGACAGTATAGTATAGTATAGTATAGTATACACTAGGTAGTATAGTATAGTATAGTATAGTATTGTGTAGTATACACTAGGTAGTGTAGTGTAGTGTAGAACACAATGGATTATAGTAGAATGTTGTATACACTTGAGTATAGTGTAGTACAGTATACACAGAAGTATAGTACAGTGTATTATTATGCTCTGGAGTATAATATAAAATAGAAAACACTAGGTTAAAGTGTGCTGTTGTTTTGGGATGTACATTAATGAATAGTAGCCTACTGTAGAGACGAGTAGAGAGTACGGGATATGTAGCAAAATGTAATGTTAACTTGATTTAGTGTAACAACTGTTGCAAAGCAAATTAATATAATCCGACTTTTTTTGATCACTGTTCCTGTGCTGTAGAGTTTTTAATTATTCTGTTAATAATCACTACATCATGTTTACAGTAACAAATAAAACCACAGGCATTGGTGAGGCTCGCTGTACTTACAGGTAACTGTTTCTCCAGGCAGTTGTTGAAGTTTTTGATTTGGTTGGGCTTCAGCTTCTTGAGGGGGATTCGCGTTTCCCCGATGAACTCGTTGTGGCGAAATTTGTCCTCATCACACACTGAAATCCTGAGAGGAGAAGAACAGAGCAGGTAGAAGAAGATGAGAATGAAGTGAGGCTCAGGTTGTCGCTGAAAGGAGGCTTACAACAATAAAAACCTGTCATTTTCCACCTGCAGCCCATCAACCTCCATCACAGGGATTCAATCCTCCCCCAAAATCTCCACTTCACTCTGAAGCTGCTCCCGCTGACTCTCTGGGACTCATAGCACTGAAGCAAAACCTCGGTAGTTCTGCGGTGAAGGAGTTCATAAGACTTTTGTCAGGCTCGATCAGCATGACAGATGATGATGGGATAATTATGCTTTAGGAAGCGTTCAGCCATGTATGTATCAAAAGACTCAAGTGAGAAGAGAAGATGTCCAGACATATTTCAGATGATAGAAAAATGACATTGTTCCTGTTCATGCCAAAATCATTTACAACTATTTCGGGACTTTAACATGAGCCCATCATGCTGTGCTCATCTTATTTACTCAATTAATGCAGCTTCAATTGAATTGTGCCACAGTGTATGGTACATTCTGTCTGTTTGCATAATGTGCCCATTTTCTGTTTTTTCACAGAGCACATAAACACAATACGCGCCCTCCTTTCAATGCATGACAACATCCTTTTGAAAACATTACTGTATGTTTGCCAGTGTATTCTTCAATTAATAAAAATAAGATTCATTATATTTCACAGTGTAACTGCTTAGAGAAGATAATGGCTGATGGTGAACTGAAAGGCAGCTCTCTGTTCAAAGCCACAGAGGACAAAGGCTCACGTACACTCCGAGCTTCACTTTTACTTTCCAGACTGGAGATCTATATTCCTCTCCGCCATTTCATTATATTATGCATCATGCACCCTGTGGCATGAGTAATATGTATTAGCACTGCTTGTAGGGGATACGGCGTAATAGGAATCACAATGAAACATGACAGATAAAAAAATAACTTATCTGCTACATGGACAGGTGGTGATGAATTAGAATTTCAATTTACAAAAATAAATGGTTCTCTCTCAGTATTGTTGGTGGGAAATGGTTTATTAAGGCACTGTTATGTGAATAGATTTTCTTTGGCTTGCGTGCAGACGAGTGTCAATCAGATCACATCTGTGAGAAGTGGCTGATGTTACTGACATTCCTTGTTGTTGTGGTGGTACTCACTGCAGGGAACAACACTAATATTTCTCCTGCTCTGCAACACAAAATAACCATAAAATATTTGCAGAGCGTTGATTAGGTTGTCAGTTATTAACAGTGATTTAGCAATTACTTCACCAGCTGTGAGATACAGTATGCATGACTTTTAAAAATAACTAATCTGAGGTTTGAAGAATTGATAAATTATTAGAAATAATGCAATTAGATTTCAATTACAGGACGATCACAACATTAATGTTGATTTGATGAACAGTTGTGCATCCCTCAGTCCTTACTCCAATAAAGCTCATCATGCATGAGTGGATCATGAACATCCAACTGGGTGACAGTTGTAGAAATGATCCACCCAGCTTCTTGATGCTCCAAAGCAGTGGTTCAAATGTAATTATTTTGTAATTATTTTATTAGACATAGGATTAAAACAAGCTTGCTACTGCTGTCTTTTGTGATGATTTACAAACCTGTCCACTCTGTAGACTGTAAAGGTGCTTCACTGCCCTCTTGGTTGAGTTGTGCCTCTTTCAATCCGACAACATCATGTTATTAATAGACATTTACATAATCGATTATTGACATTTGTGAAGTGATGCCAAATCTTTCATGTCCGTATAGTGATGCATCTGAGAATCACTTATTTCCCCACCCAGTGTTAAATGTTAAGTGGTGCTTCAGTCACTGTTTCCTGTATAGACACTGAACAGTTTACTGTATATTTCACTGTTGTTTTGCATCATCACTGAGAAGCTGATGGATTGTTAGCAGAATGTACTCAATCCAGTTGCCAGAATAAATAGGACTTATGTGGTCATATGGGTTGGAGGGCTTGTTGAAACCAAACACATTTGGCACTAGATGAAATGTTCAAGGCCCAGTATGTAGGATTTTGGGGGGTATATTAGCAGGAATGGAATATAGTATTCATTGTTTTGGTGTCATTTGTTTGAAATCAACTGATACTAAGAATCATGTTTTTGCTGCCTTACAATGACCCCTTTATATCTACATACGGCGCAGGTCCTTTTCCATGGAGTCTGCCATGTTGTTTCTATAAAAACACAGAACAGACCAAGCAAATGCAGAAGTGTCAAAAACTGCAGTTCCTCTAATGGCCACTTGAGGCTGGCTCCCATGTTAAAATGGCAACCTCAGAGCTAAAATAAACATGTTTACAGCCTGGCACCAAAATGGTTTTGGTCTCTGTAGCTAATTTCAACATTCATGACAACTGTACAGGGGGTGGATTTGGATCACAACACAGCTACACAGCTGCACCCTCTTGCCAAATATGGTTATTTCTGGCTCCAAAATATCAAGATGGCAACAGCTGAAATGACGAACTTGAGGCTTCAAAACAGGTGTCCGCAAACCAGTGGGTTGAAGTGAAAGCATCACGGAGTGCTTTGTCAAGACGGCAGCAAGACCTCATTGTCCTGTTTTCATTTTGTCTCCGCTGAAGAACGATATATTAGGGTTATTATCAATATGCAGAAAGTGTTTCTTTCACCCAACTATGGTCACTTCTGGCTAAAATAAAAAAACAAACAAGATGGTGGTGGCTGTAATGCTTAACTTGAGGCTTCAGAGGAGCATTCCACAAACCAGTGGCAGATGCCACGGTAGCTACGTTCATTATTTATACAGTCTATGGATTGGACAAACTAATACAGGCTTTGTGTTTTCACGTTGGCAAGTGTAGCTAGATCTTTGAGGGATAACCAGGGTTATTACAATTCCTTGTTAGGGGGACATGGATGTATTCATCAAATTTCATGGCAATCCCTCCAGTTGTTGCTGAGATATTCCACTCAATAACACAAAAATAAACCTCATGGTGGTGCTCAAGGAAACGTCAGGGGGTCACCAAAGTCAGTAGAGGTTCATCATCAGGTGACCACGAAAGCTTGTGTCAAATTTGATGACAATCTTTGATCTGAACCACCTGTACAGCAACAGTTTCAGCAGCCCTAACACTGCCTAACGATGGCATGGCCTCTACACCAATCAGTTTTTCTCAGTAGCTACAACAAACATACTGTTGGGTGATATAATGAGCTCCTGGCACTAATTGGAAGTCACAACTACAGGTACAATCACACCAGAAACACACACTGCAGTTATTTACTCCCTCCACTGTGTGCGCGCACCTATCATTAGGATAGACTGTATACTGTACTGTAGCTCCCGAAATGATTACATATATGGTTATGCAACGTACTTCTACTACAGTGTGAACACTTTGGTAAAAATAAAGGAGCAAAGAACAGTGAAGTAACACTTCCATTGCATAACAGTGTCATGTTAATCATGGGAAGCAGACGCCTCTGTTCCAGGTTTTAGTCTATTCTCAGGTGTCGTAGTGAAATACAAATAACCAACAACAACAGGAAGTTATCTCACCCAAACAAAAGTGTTGTTTGGAGAGCACACAAACACAAAGGATTTCCCGGCTGTTTAACTGATCGGGGGCTATCACACGTTCAGGTTTGCCCTGGCACCGAGACGTGTGGCATAAATTGTAGTGCAAAAGAATACACAGGATAAATGACAACAGCAGTCATTTCTGGGTAAAACTGCTGTTGTCAAATAAAGGCTGTAATACGGTGATTTACCTCAGGAGCCATGAAGAAGTGACACTGTCAAACATCACTGCTCCCTGAAACTTATTCTCTAAAGCCTTTCTGGTAGTGAAATATACCATCACATGGAGGGGAATGTTTCCTCTCTTTCTCCCCTTACTTCTTTTCTTTATTTCTCTTTCATTTCCTTCCCTCGTTTTCTTTGTTTCGCGTCCTCTTATTTGCTTCCTGTTCTTTCCGTTCTGTCATTTCCATGTCTTTTCTTTTTATCCTTTCATTCCCCTCCATTCCTCCATGTTCCTTCCTTCCTACTCCCCTTTCTTTCTTGCTTTCCCAACCTTCCATCACTCTCATTACCTTCCATTCCTTCCTCCCTAATTTCTTTCATTTCCAGCCGTCCTTCCTTCCTTTCCTCTCATTTTCTTCCTTGGTGCTTTTTTCCTTCAATTGCTTTCATGACCTTACCCTCCATCCTCCCTTTCCTCTTCCTTCCTTTAATTCCCTTCCTTCCTATGTTTCTTCCTCCCTTTCTACCCCCTTCAGTCCTCTTATTTCCTTTCCTCCCGTCTTGCTTTTTTCCTTCAGTTGCTCTGATTACCTTACCTTCCATTCTCCCTTTCCTCTCCTTTTCCTTCCTTCCTTCCTTCCTTCCTTCCTTCTTTTCCTCCTTCATTCCTTTAACTCCCTTCCTTCCTCCCTTTCTTCCCCTTCCAGTTCTTTTATTTCCTTCTTTCTTGCTTTTTTTTCTTCAATTGTTTTCATTACCTTACCTTCCATTCCCCCTTTCCTCATCCTTTCTTCCTTCCTTCCTTCCTTCCTTCCTTCCTTTCCTCTCCAATCCTCTTCTTTTCTTTTGTCCTTCTGCCCCTCCCATTCCTCTCATTTCCTTTCCTCCTCCCCTTCCCTCCTTGCTTTCCCACCCTTCCATCACTCTCATTACCTTCCATTCCTTCCTCCCTAATTTCTTTCATTTCCTCTTTCCTTCCTTCCATTCCTCTCATTTTCTTCCTTCCTTGCTTTTCCCTTCAGTTGCTCTCTTTATACCTTCCATTCCTTCCTTCCTTGCTTTCATTACCCTCCATCCTCCTTTTCCTCTTCCTTCCTTTAATTCCCTTCCTTCCCTTTCCAATCCTCTTCTTTCCTTTCGTCCTTCTGTCTCTCCCATTCCTCTCATTTCCTTTCCTCCTCCCCTTCCTTCCCTCCATCACTCTCAGTACCCTCCATTCCTTCCTGTCCCAGTTTCTTTCATTTACATCCTTACTTCCTTTCCTCCTTTCCTTGACTTCCATTCCTCTCATTCCCTTTCTTTCTTGTTTGCTTTTTCCTTCCATTGCTTTCATTACCTTCCTGTCCTTCCTTCTTTCCCTGTGTATTCCTTTAATTCCCTCCCTTGCTTCCCATCCCAGTCCTCTTATTTCCTTCCTTCTTGCTTTTTCCCAAATTGTTTTCATTACCCTCCATCCTCCCTTTTCCTCCTCCCCTTACTTCCTTGCTTTCACGCCCTTCCATCACTCTCATTACCTTCCATTCCTTCCTCCCTAATTTCTTTCATTTCCATCCGTCCTTCCTTCCTTCCTTCCTTCCTTCCTTCCTTCCTTCTTTCCTTCCTTTTCTCTCATTCCTTCTTTCCCATTCTTCTCATTTTCTTCCTTCCTTGTTTTTCCCTCAGTTGCTCTCTTTACCTTCCCTCCCTCCCTTCCTTCCTTCCTTCCTTCCATTCCTGTCCTTCCTCCCTTTCTTCCCCTTCTAGTCCTCTTATTTCCTTTTGTCTTGCTTTTTTCAATTGCTTTCATGACCTTACCCTCTTTGCTTTCATGACCTTACCCTCCATCCTCCCTTTCCTCTCCCTTCCTTTAATTCCTTTCCTTCCTTCCCTTTCGAATCCTCTTCTTTCCTTCTGTCCTTCCGCCCCTCCGATTCCTCTCATTTCCTTTCCTCCTTCCCTTCCTTCTTTGCTTTCCCACCCTTCCATTACCTTCTATTCCCTCCTCCCTAATTTCTTTCATTTACATCCTCCCTTCCCTTCTTCCTTTCCTCTTTTTCCTTGTCTTCTATTCTCAGAATGTCTATGAATACGGCCCCTCGACATCTGCTACCTGCCCCTCACACGACAGATTGTCGGTCAGTGACGTCTCTGTAACATCGTATTGAGCTGTGTGTAGGTTGTCTACTTGTGTGTAGACAACCTACACACAAGTGGGATGCTGAATAAGCGCATTAAAATGAATATTTTATATTATTAATGTAAACTTATAAATGATGACTGGTTATGCAGTTTTTTGAGGCGGGCAGCACTTACTGTCTAATGAGCATGAACTATAGCAGAGTGTCACAAAGAAACTTAGAATATATTTTGCAAAAAGATCCAAAGGTTTGAAAAAGTTCAGTATATTCACAGCTTTAAGGAACCTATAGTGTGAAAAGAATCGGTCTGTCTATCACAAGTTTTTTCCACCTTCCCCCTCATTCTGTCCTTTTAGCGGTCATTGTCTTCCTCTTCACTGTGGGAACAAATTGGGTGTAATAAGGTTGAGAGTACCTGAGTGTTTTGCGGACCATATCCTCGTCGGTGATGCCGTAGTAGGTCAGGGTCTCACTCCAGACAGGGTTGAGTGTGTTGTGCAGGGTCTTGGTTCTAAGTTTATTGGCCTGAAAGACAAACAGAGAAGTTGGCTGTTTAACAGGATTGAACATCCTCATTGATTAACTGCCGGTTCCCCTCCTACAGCCCAAGAGAGCTCATCCCTCAGGTGTCATCTTTCATTGAAATGCTGCCAGAATTATACAAACATCCCTGAAAATGTACAAAGCCTCTCCGCCCTGTTGAAAATTTGTCAATGTGTTGACGTCTGGTGGCATGCACGCAAACACGAGCTCACTGTTGCATATTGAACACTGTCGGGGATGAAAGACAAACAGCAGACTGCATTTACATGAAGTGACAGGTATTATCAAAATAATGCAGGAAGTGAATGATGTTGAATACACTGAAGTTAAAAGATAGTTACAGTGGCTCAGTTCATGCTCAGCCTGTTCCAGTTTCTGTCAGTACCACAGCTTTGAGAAAACAATAGTTCAGTTGTCGACCTTAATCAGGCATTAAAGTCACAGTTTAAAAAAACATATTTGTAACTGAGCAACAGGCTGCAAAAATACTGCCAACAACACACACCTAAGACAGTTAGTGCGATAGATTAAGTCACTAATGATGCAAACATTCAATGAGACAAACACCAAATCTTAAGATCCATGGACCCCTCTAGGGCCGATGTCACAATGATGTCAGTTTGTTATCTGGAGGCAAAACACGACTCGCCATCACAGGACTGTAGGCTACATAGGAGCCAGAATAGAAGGAGTCATGGCTCAAAACTGAAATTTGAACACATACCAGTCTGACCTTACATGGTGCGTTCTTAAATTCAGTCTGACGCTCTATGCTAAAATGAGAGCCCTGTTGGTCAAAGAAACGGAGTGTTATAGTTCAACATTCACTCCGCTCGACACTCTGCTGCTGTTTCACCAGACAAAGTGACCAGAGTGCACTCTGCCACTCTGAGAGTGCGGTGCTCTGGATAACTTAACGGTACATTCAGACAGTGTTACAAATTTATGAACACTCCAGTTTGTGTCAGAGTGCACTCTGACACTCAGAATGAGTATTTCTGAATGCACCATTCACATCATCTTCCTCCATTGTCTAAAACAAATCAACAGAACTTGCTAACTAGTGCTAGCTAATGTCTGTGGAGAACTGTTTTGCCTCCACCTAAGCCCCACCCACCAAAAAACATCATACTGTTTACTAACAGTAAAAGGGTCTATAGAATCAGATGGAAAAATAGAAAAAATATCAACTCATAATAGGAAAAAATAAAAATAAGTATCAATCTTATTCATCAATAAGAAAAGTTCAAATACACCCAGTATCCAGTGTAAACTAGAAATTTCAAAATTGGCATTTGAACGGGAGTTTAGAGCTGGAGTGAGGATGCAGTTAGCTTAGCATAAACACAGGAAATAGAGGGAAAATGGTCAGCCTGTTTCTATCCAAAGGGAATAACTATGCCTACTAACACCTCTAAATGTGTCTTATTTAGATTATGTATCACTTTTGTCTGCACTACATCCATCCATCTATCCATCCATTTTTAACTGCTTATCGGAAGCTGGGTCGTGGGGCAGCTGGCCGAGCAAAATATTCAAGACGTCCCTCTCCCCAGCAACACTTTCCAGCTCCTCCTGGGAGACCCCAAGGTGTTCCCAGGCCAGATGAGATATGTAATCCCTCCAGCGTGTTCCGGGCCTCCTACCAGTGGGACATGCCTTGAACCCAGGAGGATCCTGATCAGATGCCTGAACCACCTCAACTGACCCCTTTCTACGCGAAGGAGCAGCGGCTCTACACTGAGCCCCTTCTGGATGTCCAAGCTCCTCACCCTATCTCTAAGGCTGAGCCCAGCCAACCCACAGAGGAAACTCATCTCTGCCGCTTGTATTCAAAATCTGGTCACTACCCAGAGCTCATGACCATAGGTGAGGGTTGGGACGTAGATGGACCAGTAAATCAAAAGCTTTGCCTTCCGGCTCAACACTCTCTTGACCATGACAGTCCGGCACAGTGCCAGCATCTCTGCAGATGCTGCGCCAAACCCCCGATCCATCTCACGCTATATAAATGTAAAAACAACAATATGTCAATTGCTGTCTCAACCCAATTGCTAGAAATCCCAAACAACTGGAATGAAAGTGCCAACAGTTAACACATATCCTAAATAGAGTTCATAAGATCATGAAGAAAGAAATAGTGGCAGTCACTAATATCTAATGAAGTCGTTTGTTCAGTAAGATGACAGAGCATGGAACAAAGGATTTGTCAAAGATGTTTCATGTTGCTTTGTGCACCCTGAATCATTTTGCTGAAGGGAGTTTTTCAAATTCATGAAAAAGAGGATGAGAATTCTTGTAGTGATGTCTCTTAAAAACAAAATGCTCTTCATGGTACTATCCCCACCAAAGAAGAAAGGTCACTACAAAACACCCACACTGAGAGCCTAAAAAACAGCTGGAACCACAGTGATGACTCTAAAAACATCCAGTTGTGTTGTTTGTCTTGAACAGTGATCTGCAGATTGTCGTGCCATCCACCATACCCTCCAACTCCCCATGACAAAGCCAGCTCATGTATGTCACTGTAAAAATGTTGATATTATATGTATAAAACATGCAAACATGTATGGTTTGTACAATGCCAACATTTTCCTCTGACGACTGGGCTGGCTGTGTCCACTCCCAGCTGTCCACACTCCACTTCTGTTCCTTGTGTCCAACTAAAGTGCAGGTTGGCAGATACGGCGAATGAGCACTGCTTTTGGTTTTAGTTTCTGTGCAGGAATGATGATGCCAAACCTTGAAACCTCACTGTGACAACATTATGCAAGCTTTTACATTTAATTTTGGAACTTTACAGAGAGCCAAGCTTTTAGACAATGCTAGGTTAAACACATCCTGACTCCAGCTCTTTACTTATCTAATAGTCATGAGACTGACATTGATTCTTTGTTCACACACTCAGAAAGAAAGTAAACTATTCATTTATTTCTTGGAAGGAAAAACAAGTAAAATTGAAAATGCAATATTGCAGAAGTTGACAAATGGAGAGACATAACAAGAAACAAAAAAAGGAGTCAATGAAGGAAAAACAAGTGGAATAAGTAAGACAGTTATTCTGATTCTGCTGTATTGATTTTGATCAGTCTGACAGTGGTTTAGGAATGCAATAGTAAATCTCTTTTAAAAAGTAAAAGAAACCCATGCAACACGAAAACAACCGAAATCATCACATCACACTGACATTTATACTAGTGTGGTGGTGTCTGTGCCACTCTGTAGTTATACCTCCACAACACTAGTCAGCGGCTGGGTTTCCGTGAAGTGCTGTAAAGTTTAGTTGATTCAAAACACACATACACAAATACAACAAGTACACACACAAATACAACGAGTACACAAATCAGTTTCACTATAACTCGCAGCATTCACAGACAAAGCACTTGTCTTTATCTATACACATTTTCCCCACAAATACAACATGCTAATGTTTTTAGCACAAACCTATGGCATTTTACATTGTATCAATTAGCCTAGCGGCTAGCAGGCTTTTCCTCTACTCAAATGAAGCCATGGACAACACAACATTGAACAAAGGTAACGTTACAAAATTCGGCTCCATTACAACTCACAAGATTCACTGACAAAACAACTGTCCTATACTAAACATGTTTTCCAAACAAATACAACATTCTAACGTTATTAGCACAAGTCTATGGCATTTTACATTGTATCAATTAGCCTAGCGGATAGCGGAGATTTCCTCTGCTCATATGAAGCCAGGATAAATCACACACTTAATATGTTATTTTTATTTATTTTTTTGCTTTATTGTCTTCACAATTTATTGTTTCTTATCTGTGAAATAAAAGTAGTGTAAAGTTTTGTTTCCACTGAGGGAAATGGTTTCAGCTTACAAAGATAGACAGGAGGTCTGTGTCCTTGTGTAGTTACATTTCTGGTGAGGTGCATGTGCCTATGCTGCGGGTACGGCGTTGACTTGACATAGAAGTATAAATCCTGCATCAGGCTTTCCATGTAGGCGCATGGAAGGGCAGAGAGATGTACTCTCTCTGACTTCGGCTTTCTGCGTAGGCCTAGGAAAGGCAGAGAGCCCCCAGAACAGAGCCATACCACCAAATATAATACTGCAAATGGAAAAAGATGACCCAATTGACCCAGTGAAAACATTTTCTTGATTAAAGTGTTCCTGACTGAATTATATGAATTATATAATTTTAGATGCATTAATGTGTTAATCACTTTAACGCTGCAGCTGGAAAAGGTGGAGCTAATTAATATACATTTTATATTGACCTATTCATTTATATACTGCTGAGAAGCTTGTGAATTTCCCCCCAAGGCCATCAATAAAGTCTGACTACATTAACATATCATAATTTACTTATTTATTTGTATTAATAGTATGACTCCGCAAAGCACCTAAAGCTATCTTATGTATGTAGTTGAGTAAGAAGTACAGTATTTGTCTCTGAAATGTAGGCTAGTGGAGTAAAAGTTTAAAGTAGCAGAACATGTAAATACTCAGGTACCTCAAAATTGTACTTAAGTACAGTGCTTAAGTAAATGTTGTTTATTGAATAGCGATGATGTGAAGATGATGGACACTCCGCTGACACCGTCTTGCTTGTATATAGAAAGGTTTATTACAAGAAGTACAGCATCAAATCAAGCGCCTAGGAAGCCTGAGAGAGAGTTAGAAGCCAAATATGAACTACTCTGAATAACGGCTCAGTTTACCCTGCATATATAGGTTGGTTGTTTTGATGAACTTTGAAACAAAATGTGACAAGTGACAAAGAGACAATCTAGCTGGAATCCAACCTTTCATCTTACTTATCTATCCTTGACCTAAGCCATAATAAAATCTTGACCTGGGCCCCTAACTAATCATATAAGACCCCGGTCATCACATAACATGTGGCACGTCAGATACTACATAAATGAAGTGACTTTCCATCCCTGCTCTCCAGACAGATGTTGTGTTACTGTGGTCTATATAAAGATCCTTCATGGAT